GTACTTCACGATGACGACGTTGGCAACGACGACGACTTCAATTGCCGGATGGTGTTCTCTGTCAGTTCGCGGCCAACTCTTGTGTTGTCAAATGTCGTGTGGTTGCATGTGTTAACTGACTTGACCTGAGGATTTGACTCGTGAAGAGCCTCTTGGTTTGTCGATCATGCTCCGCTGTGGTTGATGTAAGAAGACTCGATATCCTTGGAAGATTGCACTTGATATCGGAGAGGGGCATTTACGTAGGTTCTGCTTTGGGCTCGAAGTCTTAGTCATGATTCATGGTGACCGTTGTTGAGTGGACTGGCGGTTTCTTGTGGTGGATGAGGCTCTTGAAGCGGGAAGACATTTCAGTTCAGAGACATTACCATACTTAAATTTGCCTAAGAGTCACCGAGAATAGCTAGTGGTGTCTTTCAAAAGATTTATTTTTGTAGGAGAAAGTCACCCGTGTGTAATTTCCATGATCATATGTTGATATCTATGATTTCAGCGGCATGTTGACTTCCACTATCATCAAATTTGCCCTCTTGAAATGTGGATGCGATAGCTAGATAACATGGTATTAATCTCTATCCTCAACTATCGCTATGGTTACTCAGTACTCTGCTCTGGCGGACACTTTGTGTGATGGCACCCTGACAATCTGCTTCTTCCTCTATTCATGGTTCAACTTTGGCCAAACTTGTGAAGCAATAAGCTAGCTCCATCTATTGAGTGTCAACTCGGCTTCAGAGAGCGATTGGTGTTCTATAATCAGACGAATGCGGGTCCAGACTCTTTTTCTCGCCCACATACACACATTCTCTCTCGCACACCTAATGGTAGTGATTTCGACGAATGCTACGAGCTATATCGAACCTCTGGGCAATGCGAGGCCCCTGCTGACCTTGAGCCCATGCCGCGAACGAAGACATGTGATTCGAGAACGCAAGTCTGTATGAGAAACAATCTCGAGATTAGACTTGACTTCTACATGTACTTGCCCGCAATCTTCTCCAATGGCACAGTTCGTTACTGGCTGGTCCGGGCAGGTGCGTCCGAGCCATGCGCGTCTCTATGTCACTACGTGAGGCAAAGTGTAGGACAGAATGACATGTGGCTTGAGTCTTATCAAAGGTCTGGAACGTCTCGGTCGTGTTTGTATGTCATTCGTCAGCAAGATGGAAGGCCTTGGCGAGCAAAATGAGGCTTGCATAGCAGACTCTTCTGACGGGTAGATTTCGGCTTGTGGCGAATTAACTGACATGCAGCGGAATCCCATAGTCATAGCCTCTATCCATTGAAATTCACTATAGAGTATTATGGTGGCCTTCATTGGGCAAACCAGGCTTCTTAGAAGTTGATTCATCACGAATCAGAGGTCTATCAGCCAGACTTAGCTTAGATTTTGGCATCAGGGTTTCGAGACCCGTCGTGTTGCCTCTTGTAAACGGGGATATTGGAGACAATTTTTGTATAGAACGGGAACTCGAAGGCTTTTCTTGCTGTGACTTTGCAGAACATAGACCTGTGATCAAACGTGAGCTTGCCAGCTCACCCTCCAAGGGGGCTCGTCTTTGCCGCACCTTCTTCATATCTATTCCATATGAGGCCTCAGAGGTTTGTTCGATAAATTCAAGTTCAGCAGTGGCATATTGTATTGTCATGGAGGTGTATAGCTAATATACTAACACCAGACATCGGTATACGAGGCCTATATAGCAACGCTTGGGGTATGAAACGGTGCACAGGGAAGCAAAATCAGTAGATGCATAGAGACAGGAACCGAATCATACTAGATATCGGTCTGAGTACCAAACGTCGGTTCAATTTGACCTCTCTATGAAAGAGCACTATCATCAAGGGAACGTCGGAAGCATCGATGTCTCTTTCAATGCAATGTTGATGGCCGTGACAGCACGACTAAAAGGGCAGAGCATTTCGTGGATCTGAATAGATATCGCTACCGAGATCCATCTGAATCAACGTAAATACCAAGTGATCTCAATCAAAAGCGCCCAAAGACCGTTGATAGGAGCTCTAAGAGTTGCTGCTCCTAACAATGGACACACCGCAAACGATATCAACTAACGTCGCCTCGCGTCCACTCAAGGGGTCAGACCTTCCGGGACAACCAGCAGGCGTGATTATTTTTATAACATGCAAAGCCACATAGTGCTGCTACACGTCCAAGTAAGGTCTCTTCTAGCCAAAACATACGAGCAAGTCAAAACGTCGTCACCCGCCGCCCTGAACTCCACACAAACCCACATCTAGCATGCTCGCGAATCCATTAAAACTTCAAAAACATACAACACCAGGTATTCGCTGGTCGTCACCGACCCAACTACTAATCCGGCCCTCATTGGCTTATCTATGGGAGAGCGGACGGGATCCCGAGTTTTCCAATGGGTATGGTCGTATGTGATGGTTTGATTATGCTAAGTTGAACATATCGTCAAGGGAGGCTAGGAGGCGGCAGCGCAGCAATCGACCCAAACACTCTACCAAGACCCTCAAAACAGGTCAAAATATAATTTGAGATACTATTATTGAACTTCGCTCACTTTAAATAGGGGTCAAAGTATATGTTGCAGGTGACGCGCCTGATCAAGACGTCCAGTATCTGTCTGGTGGTCTCAGCATCACCGCATGTTGGTGTACACCTCGGAATTATCACCCTATTTTCTGTTACAAGCGCAGTAAAAGCTGTAACACTTCAGGCAATTATATGATGATATGGTAGAACCAGAATCAAGCCTCATCCGTCTTTTGATTTGGCCAGTGTCCTTGGCTGCAAGATCAACACATACGACCCATAGCCCTCGTAGCCTAGCTTCGAATATTCGACGCCAGATTGTTTGGAGTTCATCGTAGCCTCGTCCTTATGAAAGAAAACAATCGGGTAGCGAAATTGAGGGTTGGTACAATTCATGGACCTACTTCTGCTGAAGTACAGCAATACAGTCGATTACCTGCGTAAGTGAGAGGAACTTAGGAATAGCTCATTACTCCGCGGCCTTAGTCTTTAAAGCTGATATTCTGATCATATTGGTGTCTTTGACGGTCCCAGTGGCCTCTCAGTATGAGAACCTCGAGAGGTATACCGTTTTGGTCATAAAGATCCATCTTGTCGTTTGTATTTCTATGAGACTGTGGTCCGCAAAGTAAAAGAACTTACCCCCAGCAACCAATTTTGTCCGAATCCGTCTTATCAGAAACGATTACGAAGTTAGATACAATTCAGTTCCAGAAAGATAACTCTAGTATGCTCTTCCCAAGCTCGCTAGTGCATCGATGGCAAGTGTAGAGGTTACGAGCTGAGAGAGGAGTCTGGTTGGCACCGCTGAAATAATGTCGACGACCGGAGTTCCATTCGACGGTCTGCAACTTGGAAGGCTGCCCACTATGTACTGTAACATTCCTGAGCAGAGACTATCGAATTGCCGGGAGGCCCATCTCGGGCCTTTCAACCCTGAAAGAACCTATCGTGTAGTGGTGGTTGGAATTGATTGTCCAGCTTTACGGCAAGAGGAAGTTATGTTAGTAACAAGTACGTTTCCGCATTCCGCTGTTATGTCGACGTCGTAGTGTATTCAGATGACGCTGGCCAAGCTGTCTGGTAGATGTACACAACCACCAGAGTTGGGAAAGTGCGGCTGTAGAACTCAATGGGTCGTTTTAAAGCACACGCGTCAATGGGTCGACGACGCTGTACCAGTTTCTTCGGAATAGATCCTGAGTCGGCGAGATATGAGATATGAGAAAGGAGGAAAATCGTGTATATGGGTATATTTTGCACAACAAAATGCTTTTTGATCCTTCACTTCGCCGACAATTCCCGTTCTGGTGATCAAAATACGCGGCTGATACATGGTTGAAAACGGAAATCGTTCCCCTCACGATCAAATGGCACTAAGGGTAAACCTGCATCTGTCTCATTTCAGCTCCCGCTAGGCCCCGCCGGCATATACGCCAACCCGACACTGAGGTTCTTCCCCGCCTCATCGTCGCGTGCTTGAGCTTAGAGGTGGTTACCCAGACCTAATGTGAGCTGTGGGCACTGGTGAATGCCTCTGTGGAGATCTTTCACGGCATGAGTATTTGACTCTGTTGGTGACACTGCATTCTTCTAAATTAGATGACGCATGTTGAAAATGGGTTTAGTATTTCTTAGTACTTCCGACTTTCCACGTGAATGCTTTCGTATTCAAGTGCCTTTTTGGGCTTGTGGACAGAGTTGAAAAGAATTGCCCCAACTTCTGCTGAAAGTCGACTCGACATCGTGCACCACCGACGACTAGTCCCTTTATGTCTTACTCCTTTGGCACTTGGTCCATGCGTGCATACTGAGCAATTAAGCCAGAATGAAAGACTAACAGCTTAGTTTCCCCCAAATCCCAACCTGGCACTAAGGCATTAACAGTAATAGCTCTAGGGTACCTTGAGCCCCGTACCAGATTGTTCGTATAAAGACGAATCTCGGGAGAAGAGACATGATATGAAAGCAGAGACATGGATTCAGCCTCACCACACGATCCAAGTGACAAGCTAGTATGGTGCTATGTGACTATTGACTTCTCGTTGGAGCCAACCTTGGCTGCTTCTGTGAGAAGGCCCTGGGGGAGAGTGGGGGAACTAACATTACCACCCCAGACGAGCTGTCACTCATCACATGAGCTGAGAGGCTTGCAAGTTAACCTCCTGGAGCAGGATATTCTTGGTATGGATCTAGCCTTACATAGAATAAGAAGCATTTTCACCGGCGTAAGCCACTTACTGCCGGGAACAACGCGATAGCATGACCGCACCGTAGAGCTCAGCTGAATCGAAGAAGGTGATGGGTAGGAGTTTGCTAACCTTGGACATACAAAACACTATTAAGAGTGACTCATTTCTCTCCTTGCAATACTTTGTAGAACATCGATCAGAAAGCCCAGTCAACTTCACATCTCAGTTGCCTCTCAATTTACATCTCACATCATCTTCTGGTCATTACCACGGCCCAGACCATCACAATGGCGAGCTTCGAGATTACGATCAAAAACAGGTCCAACAACAATCAATCATTCATTCTTCTTCAGGATATACAAGTCACAGGCAATCTTGGCCAGAGTCATGTATTCCCCAATGTTTACCAGAGTTCCCGTAATGTCAATGGGATGGGTGCCAGCACCAAATTTGTCATGAAGCAGCAGTACTATGCCATTCAGGGTACCTCTTCGAACACTGGTGATGGGTCCATCCGTGTCAACGTCAGCGACTCCGTACCTGCTAAGCTTGGTCCCAACGGAACAACTGCTGCCGTTACCACTGTCGATGGGTTCCCGACATGGGATCAGTCTCAGATGGCCAAACCGGCTCAAGGTCAGGGCAGCTTTGACCTTCTTATCGACAACACCTTCAAGTCCCCCAATCCCAGTAAGACTAGCATTGCCGTGAGATTCGACATAGCTCTCAGTGTACTTGCTAAGGTTTAACAGATCAGACTTACGTGGGTTGCGGTGCCCCTGACCCGTGGACTGGGGAAGTGATTCCGGTCAAGACTTGGTTGGCCCAGCCAGGTGTGAACAGCCAGGTAATTCCGAGGCCCAGATACTTCATCGCCTTAGGTCACTTTATTCCCGGAGTTATTGTGGACAGGCGCTCGCTTGGCTGGATCTTGACGGTTGATTTCGCCGGCGCGGCTATCCCGAGCGCCACTTTTACACTCGCTCACGATGGTACATATCAACCTGATGACCAGGTTGCAGCCAATGGTGTCAAGTGGAGCTATGGAAACATTGATGAAGCTTAAGACCGCCTCTTTTCTAGAGTAGGCCTGAACTTCACTCAACGGGGCATATGTAGATGCCGTCGCAGTTGATTTCGAGTGATTTTGCTGAAGCTTAGGAAGCGGGACCAGGGGCTAGCGGATTCATGCAGAGGAAGGATAGGAGAAAATTGCTTGCGTCTTCGCTGTTTTGTAAAATCATGTGCGATCTATCTCGACAGCGACGGAAACTCAGAGTCCAAGTCCTGGAAGTAGCCCGCCCGTTTTCATTCTTGGAGTTGCAGCCATGCAAGCGGACACCTCAGCTCAATGAGTGTTCGGAGGCAACTGAGTGGATTTGTGCTATGGCATGGAGTGCTGTCATGATATACTTTCTTCCTGTGCAATACGACTACCGATAATGCAAGCGGGGTATTAGATGCTTGATCAAGTCTACGTCCAGACACAACTCCTCCAAGACCCTTGCAGAATGTTGAAGTCTCCTATACCAGGCTTGTAGATGAGTCTCTCCGCACCCGAGATCGTCCCAAACCTCGGTTTCAAAGCGACATGTGCTTTACTTTCCTTTCCCATCTTCCGACCGACAAATCGCGGATGTCGATGTACACTCTAGGTCGAAAACTTCACGGTCTTAACAACCTCAGCATGTCCATCACCCCCAAAGTCCATCCCGGGCAACCCCCAGGAAGTTTCCACCGGCGTATACTAGCAGAGACGATCAATCAATGCGAGAACGGGTTCCAATTTGTTTGGGGTCGCCGTGAAAGGTATCAGCCCGCGCCCGGGTTTCGTGTTCACAAGCTCCCCTATCACCAGTTGAAGCCAGACGTACAGGTCTTCGCAACGGACACGTGCGAGACCTATCTGGCTGAGAACCCCTCAACGAGTTGCCACATGACCCCAGGCAAAGGCGCAGCGGTATCCTTCACACCCTGTTCAGGCAGCATCGACGAAAACAGCACGTCAGGAAAAGCCTCCATTCACATTTCGTGCGACAGCTTTCCCTGCAATGATAGAGATCCGTCACGATGATATGTTCATGCCTCATATAATGCCATTTACAATCTGGGGTCTCAGTTCCCGGAAGCCATCTTACTGGATAGAGGTCGTGTTCACCACTCAGAACGGGGATGTACAGATCGATCACAACACCAATAGCACTTTCTCGTACTCCAGCGACGAGTAGAATTGTATTTCACATGGCTGGCCGCGAGGACATCCCTTATCTGTATGATTGACTACTTACCCTACTTAAAGGAACCGTAGAGAAATTATAAAGTTGACAAAGTAACACATTTTCAAAATTTTGCAATAATGCACCATGTCGAAGAGGCGTGTCGTTGAAAACGGCCAACACGTGACTGGCATGTCGAGGTGTGGGCTTAGGCACGGGCTTGACGGTGCAATTGAACCTTTGACAAGGCGTGGTGTATAATTCAGCATCAACGATCCTCACTAGCAGCTACACAATTCCATGAAAGAGCTTCTCCTAGTATAGCAAGAGATACGATAGGATGAGAAATCTCTGCGGCGGTATTGATGCCCGGTCTTCCGACGTGGTGGCTGACCAGTCGGCAGACCTCACGTGCACCGCTGCTAAGTCTTGCCTGATTTCATCCAACATTCACACTGGTGGGATCAGAACTTATCCCACGAAAAGGTCAACGTAGGGGGTGAACGAAGCAGTACTGTGCAAGTCTCTGAACTAGTAATCAGCGACTTCATCCGTCCGTCCCCTCGAGCAAAGACCAACTCCAAGAGGGCTAACAAAAACGTCTCAAGACATGTCGTGCATATCGTCTCGTGAAAAGAGTGAGCCCGCATAATCTTTCGTGCTCCGGCGTAAGGCGAAAAATGAGAAGACTGTGAGGAGACGAGACAAAAAAAGGCTTCTTTTCAGTCTTGACCAAGTGTTGGCCCATCCGCACAAACCCTCGGGCCCCCTCGGGCATCTCGCCTTATCGGTCGACCGAAGCAGGTTCAAGGGGTTGAGAAAGTGTCTGACTTGAGCGATCGACCCGTGAATCAGAAGAACGTGATTCAGAAAAAGCTGGGGCACAGGAGAAAAAAAAAAGAATGGTACTCGTCATCCATCAGGAACATCCATCAGGATGTCGTAAGGCATACACACGAGTAACGGCTAACAAACCGCATAGAGAGTGTGAAGGAGGGGGGAAGGGGGCAAGCCCGACGTCTCAATGCCATCATGCCTAAACTCTCATCCCGGGATTCCCGCTTCTCGCCTTTTCGCCTCTCTCATCCTCGCCGCCTCGCGTCACCCTCCAGGTCCATCCTCCTCCTTCTCCGTCCTCCCGATTCGAGGGGGAAGAAAAAAACGCTACCGGTGGACGGATCTTGGCCGTCGTCGAAAGGGTGGGAACATGGACCACCAGCCCATCTACTCCTGCACGGCGTTCCCAACAACACGGGAGAAAGTCCGGAGGTCGGAGAGGTTACGGTGGGGAGAGAAGAGAGAAGAGAGAGAAGAGAGAGAAGAGAGAAGAGAGAGAAGAGAGGAAGGGAAGGACGGCTTACGCATGAAGCGGTCCGAGTGTCTGGTGGTCAGAAACAGCCGTAGTTGCGGAAAAGGTTGAACTGTGTAGGTTAGGCCCAATGGGGTGTTACTTCTCGGACGGGAAGCAAGGGTGTCCAGGGTCTCTCTCCAGTTCTAGGACTCTTGGGATTTGGGCTGTCCTTTTCTCGCCTTGTAATGCAGATCGGGCCGAAAGATATTGTGAGTCTCCCGAGGGAGCGACATTGGGCTTTTGATCACAGTTGGAATGAATAGACAATGGCAAAGTGTGATATCAAGTTTAGAAGATGGAAAACATGTCACGATTGAAGGAACTTGCAGATTTGTTTAACTTGTTCAGATTTAATTGAATTAACCGACCGACCCTTGACCCGATCAACGCCACAACAATGAACATGATGGTCTTTTTGTTACATTATAGAAAACTGCTCGTGAAAATGGGTCATTAGTGACAGTCGTGTTGATGTCGCCAAATATTACCAAGCGCGTCATCTAGAGGTTGGTGTGTCCCTCGCCTTTCCCTTTTGGCTGGTCTTTCTCTCTCTTCCTCGCACCTAAGAAGTATCATCGCCTTCTTCTCTCTCTATAGTGGGATATGGAAAAAAATGATTTCAGAAATGGATTTTTTGTTGTGAAACTCGATGCCGTTCAAAACACGCTTTGTTTGTGACTGCTCTGCCGCGCGCGCTCCTAATAACATGATGTCTAATTTTTGTGTTGATTTTTTTGATTTCTTTCATGTTTTGGTCGAAACTCTCTCCAGTTGCTCGACTCAGGACGCTTAGCCCTCCTCGACGACGGCGCGGTTGGCAATGTAGAAGCGCTCGCCCTTGTCGTCCTTCTCGTGCTCGAGGGCGACCTTGCTCAGCTGAGTGAGGACGTTCTCGATGAGGGTGTCGGTGACGCTGCGCTTCTTGCGGCCCATGTCGTTGAGGACCCGGAGGTTGGTCAAGACGTAGTAGACCAGGGCCATGACGATGGTGACGGCAACGGAGTAGACGAAGACGACGCAGACGGTGACGAAGTCGGTACGGCCGTTCTCGGACAGGAACTTGTTGAGCGAGGGAGGGGAGGCGGGCTCGCCGCGGCCGCCAGAGAACCAGCCGAAGACGCAGAAGAGGATGGACAGGACGTCGACGGCGGCGATGGCACCGATGAGCTGGAAGGAGGGGAAGGTGTCGAAGCCACGGGTGACGAAGATGAGCCAGTTCTGGGTGAGGGAGATCTCGAGGAAGAGAATCTCCTGGACGGAACCGTAGTCGTGGATGACACCACCCTCGGTGATGTACATGGTACCGCGGAGAATCCAGGTGCCGGCAGCGAGGAGAGAGCCGAGAACGATGGAGATAATCCAGATCTTGGGCAATTGCCACTCGACGGGACGCTTCTCGAAGTGGGCGTTGTCGTACTATTGGTTTGATTAGTGACATGAAGTGAATGTGCTGAGTGAGGCAGATACTTACAGCGACGGCAATGGTGGCCAAATCAGCGAAGAGAGCGAGGAAGACAATCAAGTCGGCGCGGACAGTCTCGTTGATGATGATCATGGAGGTGACCAGGTAGATCTCCAAGTGCAAGCAAAGGGCGATACGGTACTGGATGTAGGCCTTCATGCGCTGGAAAATCTGGCGAGACAGCTTGATGGCGGAGACAATGGTGGAGAGACCGGGGGCAAGGAAGACGATATCGGCGGCGGCCTGAGCAGCCTCAGTGGCACCCTCGACGGCAATACCGCAGTCAGACTTCTTCAGGGAAGGAGCATCGTTGACACCGTCACCAGTCATGGCAGTCAAGTGACCACGCTGCTGAAGCATCTCGACGACCTGGTACTTGTGCTCGGGGAAAACCTCGGCGAAACCGTCGGCACGCTCGCAGAGATCGTGGATGGAAGTGCCAGCCATGTCGGAGTGAAGAAGCTTGTCGGAGTTGTAAACCTTGGTACCGAGCTGAAGCATGCGGCAGGTCTCGACGGCGATGGCGTGGGCGTCACCAGTAAGCATCTTGACCTGGAGACCGAGAGCCTGGGCCTCGAGAATGGTCTGGCCGGTATCAGAACGAGGGGGGTCGAAGAGGGACAGCATGCCGAGCATCTCCCAGGGGCCATCCTCCTCCTTGACGGCGACAGCGAGGGAACGGAAACCACGGCGAGCGAACTCAGCCGCCTTCTCCTTGAAGAGGGCGGACTGCTCCTCGGTGCAGTCGGTGAGGGCGAGAACGGCCTTGGGGGCACCCTTGGCGCAAGTGTAGCGGACACCACGGTGGGTGGCGATGGTGGTGATACGCTTGGAGACGGGGTCGAAGGGAGTGAACTTCTCGGTCTTCCAGCCGTCAGAGATGAGCTCCTTGGCCTTGGGGTAGCGCTTGAGGGTGAGAACGGTGATCTTGTCAATGGGGTCGAGAGCCTTGATGTTGTGGGAAGAGGCAAGGGCGGCGACGGCCATCATCCAGTTGATGTCGACTCCCTCCATGACGAAGGGCTCGCGGACGGACAGCTGGTTGGCAGTGAGGGTACCAGTCTTATCGGAGCAGAGAATGTCGACACCGGCAAGGGACTCAATGGCGGTAAGCTTCTGGACGATAGCCTTCTCCTCAGCGAGGTAAGCGGCACCGACGGCCAAGGTGGTGGTGGTAACGCAAGGCAGACCGATGGGGACACCGATGATGAGAAGAATCAAGGCGTAGTGGAGCAAGTTGACGGAAGTGCCCTCCTCAGAGACCTCAATGGAGCGGTAGAAACCACCAATCCAGGCGGCGAGGATGAAGATGATGACAAGGGCGAGAAGCGTAGTACCGATGGAGTTCATGATGGCCTTGAAGTGACCCTGGTCCTGGGCGCCCTGGACGAGGGAGGCGGTCTTTCCGACGAAAGAGGCCTGGGCGCCGTGGGTGACGATACAGAAAGCCTTGCCGCGCTTGCAACCGGTGGTGTAGTAGCAAGTATCGGTCATGAACTTGTCGACAGCGAGGGACTCACCAGTCATGGCAGACTGGTCAACGGCGACGATGGAGTGTCCGAGGGCGGGGTTGGCGTTCTCCTCATCACCCTCCTCGAACTTCTCGCGGCGGGGGGACATGACATCCTGAGCCTCGAGCTCAGCCTTGTAGGCGCTGTAGCCGGCGGGGTTCTCGTAGTCGCAGATAAGCTGGCAATCGGCGGGGACGACGTGGCCTTCCTCGACAATGATCTAGAGAGTCCGTGTAAGTAAGATTGGCTTTTCCCTGGATCGCCGATGCGATGATGGAGACGAGACGACTTACAATGTCACCGGGGACGAGTTCACGAGCGCGGATGTCTTCTTCTCTGCCCTGGCGGACGACACGAGCCTTCATGGCAATGTCACCCTTGAGGGAGGCGACGACATCGGCAGCCTGCTTCTCCTGGTACCAACCGACAGCGGCGTTGAGCAACAAAATGGCGACAATCAGACCGGCGTCAAGCCAGTCCTGCAGGGCAAAGGCGAGGATAGCGGCACACTCCATGACTGCATTGAGAATTAGCGTTTTGGCCTTGGTGTTTCATGCAGTCCATGCCGCAGGCTGCAGTGAAGTGGTTGTTGGCTTGTGCTTACCATAGAGAATGGGACCGCGGAAGAAACCGACGAACTTGAGGAACATGTTCTCCTTCTCGGTGGTGAGTTCGTTCCAGCCGGTGTACTTTCTGCGGCGCTCGACTTCCGTGGGGTCAAGACCTTGCCTCATGTCGGTCTTGAGCCAGTCGGCGGGAGTGACGAAGCCGCTGGCACCAGCGCCCTCCTGGGTGGCCTTCTTCCAGAATTGCCATGCTGGCACCTTCTTGGTTGTGGCCGCCTCGGTCTCTTCCACCTCAGCGTTGGGGTCCCGGTAGGTGTCGATGTACTTGATCAGACTGTGGTGAAAAGTGCGGTGTTAGTTGCCAGCGTTACATTGGAGAGAGAATTCTGAGCCATTGGCACTTGGAGAAGAGCCAATGGCGTGTAAGACTGGTTTTTTTGGGAGCGATGGTGAAGAGGAAAGACTTACGATCTGTACTCCTCGTTGGTACCGCCTTCGCCAGCACCGCCATCAACCCGGTTGTTCCTGGCGCGCTCTTGGATGAAGTTGCCGGTCTCGAGGTCCTGGTCGTCATCCTCGGTGTTGATGGGTTGAGGGTAGTGCTTGTTGCCTCCTTTTCCTATTAAGCCCGCCATTTTGTATGGTGCCATAGAACAACGGAAAAGGAATACAGTCCAGCTGTAGGGGTAGTAGAGGCGAGCGCAGGACAGGTATATATAGGAAGGTAGAGGATGAGGGAGGAGAGAGGAAGGAGGGGCAGAGCAGGGTGAGGAAGAAGGCTAAGCCAGAAGAGACATGAATCACGGTGGGAGAATGGGGCATATTATATTACATCTGTCAAACGGCGAGGCCGGACTGGTCGAAGAGGTTCCGCGGATGGGAACAAGAAGATGGGACCAAGGCAAGGCAAGGCAAGGTAAGGAAGGGCATGGGCCACGGCCCCCAGGGTGGAAGGGGGAAAAAAAAGGTAGTGTAGACTGGCATTGTGGCATACTCCATACTCTCCGTACTTTGGTACCTACCCTCGCGCGGCAATGGAGAGGCAAGAAACGAGACGAGAGGCAAGAGACCGCGGCGTCGGCGTGTGTGAGCTGTGTGGTAGGTGTGTGTGTGAACAAGGGACCGGCGTGTAGCTGCGTACCCCGTCTTGCTCGGATCAACGCCAAGAAGTTGCAAGCATCAAAACAGATGCGGGTGAGGGAAAACCCCACACACTGTGACCGGGCGAGCGACGTCGATGCTATTTCGAGCAAGGGTACGAAGATACAGAGCAGAGACGACGGGACATTTTTGCCGCTGGGCAAACGTCTGGCGCAAGAAGCAGGAGCAGAAGGGAGCAGCAGTACATACCTAGAGCAAAGAGCGAGAGAAAAAAAAAACTGGACCGAGAAAGGCGTTGTCTGTCTATCTGTCTGTCTGTCACTGCCAGTATGTACCACTGTGTACACTATACAGCTTAGCTGCCGCTAGAAAGACACTGACAAGACAAGAGACGAGGACTTCGTGCCGAAGAACTGGGGAGCTACACTAGGACGAGCTGGCTGGCAGGGCAATCCAACCGACTACGGCGTTGGACGTGGGGACCTTTGGGACCCGCGTTCCTTTCCATTAGCTTTGCGGCTTGCGGCTGGCGGGCTTGCTTGCCTCGCTCTCTCTCTCGTGTACTGTGAGTGTGCTCTGTGCCGACACGCCGTGCTAATTTTCTCTCTCTTTCTCTCTGTCTCTCTCTCACTTCCATGTCTCGTGCCTTTTTTGGGGCCAAGCCTCTTTCTGTGTGGAAGAATATTGGCCAGCTTCTAGCGTGAATTTGGTCCCCCAGATGCCCCATTAGACGGGCCGACCTATCAAGACAGAGACAACTCGCTGTCTCATCTGCCAGGATGCGAGGATGGATATCTGACAACAAGGGGAAGCCAGCGTGAGTCGTGCGTTTCGAGGAAGAAACTCTGTAGTGACTTGCCATTGTATGGGGGTTGAGGGTGAAGATGGGGGTCAAGTTCAAGTCTCTATGATACAAAAATAAAATGCCTCAGTAGTACTACACGGCGTGTCCTAGGGGGGTGGTGGTTAAGGCGGGATGGACTGGGCTGGGCTGGCCGCTTGCTGGGCACGTCAATCAAAAAGATTTGAGGGAAAAAAAAGACAGACGAGGTCAGAAAGAAGAGGAGCTACTACCAGTACGGATACCGATACATTAGGTACGCTACGTACTTGACACAGACATAATTCCGAGATTTCGTCGAGCTCTCTGCACCGTACGGAGTATTCGTAGTTCACCTCTGTTCTCGGGCAACCCCCCGCGCGCCGCCGCAAAAAAAAAAGTCGAGCTCCAGTCTCCAGTCTCCAGTCTGCAGTCTCCAGAGTTCCTTCGGTTGTGAGGTAGTGTCCCATCTGTCTAGTCCACGTTGAGCGCGGACCCGGACACCCCCCCCTGCTAAAGGACATGTTCCGTGGGTTGAAAGAACAAGAGACGTTTGACTATCAGGGACTGGGACTGGGAGAGTTGGAGCAGAGAGAAGAGAGCCCAGAGTCGGGAGTCGGGACTTGGAAGGGGGAGGGGGGGTCTGGAGGGGAGGATTTCCTTTCCATTGCCCCTCCAATTGGACGACCGCACCCCCCCCTTTGACCCCTCCAGAGTGGGAGAGACTTGAGAGTCGAGAGTCGAGAGAGAAAGTCCCGGGGCTACGTACCGTGTGCGGTATTCGTAATACGTACTCTTTGTCCTCCACTCCCCATCTCTTTTCGTCCGGCCCCTTGTGGTCGCGACAGTTTCAGCTCTGCTCCGAAACCCACATCACGTGACACGTCTCGCCGCCGCCTCGTTCCCCAATTCCCCCGTCCAAGACCTCTGCGCCGGTGAACCCTGGAAAAGCCTTGGTCCACGCGCGATAAGCAACCCAGCACCAAACAGGTAGGTATCTTTGTACCTCTCCGAAGTCCCGCCATCAACCTTACCGCAGATGGCTTGCTCGACAATGGAGTCTCCGTACGGCGAACCCTTTCCGCTTGGCATCCACCCGCTTTCGCGTCCCGATTTTGCACTATGTACGGAGTACTTGCAGACCGACGCTGCATTGTTGGATCTCTTTGCACATCTGCACCGGCACCGAAAACCACTTTGCACAGCACTACTTACTTTGCAGCACGCGTCGTGGTGGGGGTTGGAAAACTTCCTTTTGGAGGAGCCGAGGCGGGAAGGGCGAAGGACCAACCACTGGCATCTCCAACTCCAACTCCCAACTCCGTCTTGCTTCCGCTGTACAGTGCGGACGGGCACTTGGACGGGCATCTAGGATAGAGCCTCTGCCAAGACTCCAATTGTCATGTCCTCGTCTTGCCCTCGACTGCGGTGATGCAAGTCTATGTCTGGCTATGGCTCTCGAGACTCAAGTGAGCAGCGCCAAGAAATCCCCGGAATAGACCGCGGCGAAGGGTGTTTGGTTGCGTGTGAAGAGGGTGGTCCATTCACGATTCGTAGGGTTTTGAATTACACGAAAGTGACAGACGGCGGCCAAAGCCCTCTCTGTCTCTCTCTCTCTCTCTCTCTCTGCTCTCTCCCTGAGCTCTCACTGTGACACTGCCCCTCCCCCAAGCATCGCCAAGTCTTTCCTTGGAAACACTGTCAAGCGATCTGCCTCGCGACGGGCCTTGAATTGAGGCTATACGTGAACCATCCCATCCCTCAAGTGTTGCGCGTTTGCCTTGCCTCTCTGTCTCTTACACTACACACCTGTTAGCGTATTTCTTTTTTTAAGCTCTTCACCGCTGGCACTGCACTGCAGAGGAAATCTTTAACCCAAATTAAGAATAAAAAAAAAACAAATCCGACCAACGAGATACTCCGGGGAGAAACCTGCCAAGCCTTTTTTACCCCCGGCCAAGCCCAAAACCAAACCTCGATCAAAGAGTGCAACGGTATCGTAGTAGCATTAAGCGTATGGATTTCCTGGAATAGCAGTATGAGTGGTTTCTACTTGCCACGGTACGGAGACTTCAAGACAAGACAGTTTGACGCCATGTGCCGTGACTATCCAATTACGTACAGTATGTACACACACACACACTCTCTGATTAATGTTGGGGCCTATGGATATGGGGAAATGGGGAAGAAATCACCGCAATATTGGATGGGGGTGGGAAATGAATCGGCGACGTTCAAGCTGCAAAGTCACTCACGTTGCGGGCCAAGAAAAAAAAAACGAGGCAGATTTTGTGCAGTGCGGGCAGCGCATACGATGCGGGATATTGGGGTCCCGTTCACGCGCCGTATGCGTGTGCAGCACTGCAGCTTGTGCGGTGTGCCCGCGGTGTATAATCCCTATGTCCTTATTTGCGCTTGAACCTGGCTTGACCGACCAGACTGGCGTCCATCAAATGCCTCACCCACGGAAGTCAAGAACGCCACTTGGCTCGTTCTGGCCTTATCCTGGGGGAGGGCCTGACTGGTCTTGCTCTTGGCTTGCGTGTGGTGAAAGTGGAAGCGCTACGGATACGTCAATCTGCCTAGTTCTCGCATCTCGGCACGCAAGGCAGCGTGTAATACAGAGTGGTCAAGTAGTCTCGACAACAAGATAGGGCCAGCATGGCAGTCGGAGGCGAGATGACGATGGATTATGGTTCCAGACGGAGCTGGATGGATGATTGCTGTTCAATGTGGCAAGTCGGCCGGCCCGTTGACCGGTCACTGCTGTCGACGAACCCCGTTCCAACGAAGTTTCCACGACTCCTCCTACACGGATACCCAGCTGTGAATTACTCTCCGACCTCCGATGACTCGACGAGCGAGCGGAAGTGAGGACTCGACTAGTCAGTGGGAAACCGGGAAGACGCCATTGGACCAACGTGGCCAAAAGCGAGATTCGCGCGAAAGAGACCCGTTGGATGATCCGTGTGCAATCTCTGGCGTAACACGCTGCAAAGAAGTCGCGCTCCGCTGCCGCTGGCCCTTTGCTGCTTGTCGTGCTCGTCTGGCACTCGTGGGAGGAGCCACAAACGTCCCAAGCCAAGCCTGGAGCCCGCCTGGAGCCAGCCTGGAGGAGGAGGCGAATCCTGACTTTTCCGACTCAGGGACATCGTGCATTGGTGTGTGCGGCATCGAAGGGAAACCGTTCGCGCAATGCATTGCTGGAGCCCATTTCTTTGCCATGGATGCGGGCACCACTGGCTCATTGGCACACGGGCACACTGGGTGGACACCGGTTCGGTTCCATGGAGATGCCTGCCACGATAGGAAAACACTAGCAGCAACGCTAGAATGAAAAGAAGAGGAGTTCCTGGGGCAGCAAGCTGACGAGGAGGGTCCCCTTGCTCCAATGACAGGGCCCCTGCAGAGCCCCAGGGAACCCACTCGATCCCCATCAATCCTCTCGATCGAACAGGGGTTCTGGAGCTTCAGTTGCCGTGGGGTTTCTCTTTTGACGTGCTGCGAGCTGCAGATACGCGGGCTGTGGCCGAGCCTATGCGATTTCACTTTTTGCTCGCTCTTTTTTCGCTGTGTTGCCCTTCCCTCTCATCCTTCTCGTGTCTCTTCTCTCTCCCCATCGTTGCCAATTGGAGGCCAGTCCTCCCGCCTGGGAACTCAATCTTCGTCCGACCTTTGCTTCTTCCTTTTGTCGATTGCGGCTGTGAAAAAGTCCCATTGATGTGCTGGACCTGCATGGGAGAGGGTGGCCGGGAGAGTTCATGGGAATCGTCATTGCTGAGGTACACGCCAAAGTATGATAGTGGTGACAGAACACCCAGCCGGGCCAGCCACGGGGCTTCGTGTGTCTGCTC